ACAGCCACGTCATGCAATGACTAAGATTGTTAAACTGAGCCCTTCTCAACATTACGAGGATGTAAGACATCTCTAGAGGCCTCAGGATGGAAAATGCTGTCTACATCCAAAGAAAGAACTATGGAAGTCAAATCGCTATCACTTATTTTGACCTTCTGTTGAGTTTTGTTTCCTCTTTCTGATGGTTCCTTCTATTGGTTTTAATTTTTACTTACAACTTCACTAATGTGAAAATATGTTTAATGGGTATGTAAATGTAAAGCCTATATCAGATTGTGTTTTGTCTTGCAGGGGGAGAGGGAGAAAAATTTTCAACTCAAAAGCATGGAAGTGATTGTTGATAAACCAAAATAAATTAATAAAATTTAAAAATTAAAATTTAAAAAATTAAAAAAAAGAAATTAGTATCCTTCAGTTCTGTATTCTTTCTTTTTAACCATTCAGAAATGAAGATAAATCATTTTTCTCAAACTGAAGAAAATGTATAAATTTTGTCACTTGTATAAAAAGAATCATTTGCTTTTGTTTTGTTTTAAAATATTATCTTGTTTTCAATTCAAGTGTGCAGTTTTCTAACTATCTTTGTGGAAAGAATATAGCAGGAGAAGAGAAGAAAGTTTTTTTTTTATTGTCTGAAATAGAAAATAAACAAACTTGCATAAGGCTTCTAAAACTGGTGTTGCCTAAAGACATGTAATTACTATAACTAAGTGATTCAGTTCACTCATATTCTATTACCTTAAATGAGAATTATGGAGTAGTCTGGGAGCTTCTTGGTTATGAACAAAAAAACAAATAAATCTCCTTTAAAGTTTGCTCAATAAACCTGTGTTATATCCTTAAAAAAAGAATTTGGTATTTTCTTAAAGGTAAACACATTTGTTCCTACTGTTCCAGAAAGAACAATTTAGCAAAAATTTTTATTTTTATTTTAGCAGAAATTTAACCAACTCACTACCATCTATTCATATTACTTTGATAATTAAGGAAGAACTGTAAAACATTTTAATGCCTTAATCTTTGTCTTTGAGATGGAAAAAATAAAACAAAACACAAAGGAAAGGGCAAAAACCACCCCCCAAAAAACCAAAAACACCGTAGGCAAACTCTCGATGCAGAGAAATACAGCCAGAGAATTTCACAAGCCTAAATTTGCCAGGAGAATCATCAAGCTTTCTACAAGTCTGTTTCTTCAAACAGCCTGAAGTTTATGGAAAGAAATGACAACAGGCTCCCTCCCTTTTGTTTTATATTGAAGTAGATTCTGAAAACTTTAGCTTCCTTAAGAATTCTTATTACATGCACAAGAAATGCATAAATGTCTGATCATCTTACATTTTGTTGCTCAAAACTCTTCAGTGGTTTCTTTTAGCCTGCCTAGTAAACAAAGTCCATTTTTTTTTTTTGCCTGGCATTCAAGACCCTCCACAACCCGATGTGATTATATCTTTTCAGCCTTGTCTCCTGCTGAATACTCATTTGTTTGTGCTTCTCCCAGAGCCTACCAAAGTTCTGTGCACATAGCAGGCATATAATAAATGCTTGCTGAAACTGAATTTTAATTTGATATCCACATTTAGAAATATCATTAGAAGGAATAATAGTAATTAACAATTATATAACACTTCATGGGATTACAAAGTATTTTTATACATTGTATCCTTTATTTTTTATAACAATCTGTGAGTTAAGCGTTATAAAAATTATAAACATTGTAAGGATGAAAAATAAATACAGATATTTAAGAAGATAAGTAACATGACTGGGGTCGCCAAGTGAGTAAGACATAAGTCTGGACTCAAACTTAAGACCTCACAGCTCAAATAATGATAATTAATGTCTACATCACTTTATGATTTACAGAGTATTTATACTTAAGTTTATTAAGTATCCACTATAGCATTTAGGATACAAAGAAAAATGAAACGGTTCCTGCCCTCTACTTAAGGAGGGGAGGTAGGCAGAGAGAATATACAACATGTAGACAGATAAATATACAAGGTAATTTAAAAAAACGAAACCCAAAGTATGTACTATAATTTGGGGGAAGGGGAGAAGGAAAGGTTTTTGAAAGGAAGAGGTAAGGCACCTAAGTTGAGCCCAGAACAAAGCTAGGGATACTAGAAGTGAGGTAAAGAAGAAGCGTATTCTTGGAATAGGAGAACAATCTATGTGAAGACACACTGAGAGAAAAATAGAACGCCAAGGCTAGGAACAGCTAGTAGCTAGTTTAGACAAAATAAAGAGTGCATATATATAAAATAAATCTGGAAAGGTAGGTTTTAACTAGATTAGGTGCGGAGAAAGAGGGACGTTTTGCTCCACACTAACGAATTTGTATTTTATTCCAAAGGCAATAGAAAATCAATAAAGATTTTTAAACAATGAAACAACATGATTAGACCTGTGACTTAGGATAATTATTTTGGCAGCTATGAAATGGAGACATCAGAAGGGGAAATAGGAAGACCATTAGGAAGCTATCTGAATAATCTAGGTTAGATGTTCTTCACTATATTATGTTACCTTTACTTAAAGAATTTAGCACAGAGATGATCTTTAGTTGCAAAAATAAGAGGACTTTCAATTACAGAAAGTTAACCACACTGAAGATTGCTCAAGAGCCTCAACTCTTTGGGTTTTTTTCCCCCTTCTGTGTCAGTCCCAGAACCAATACCTTCTATGTACTTACACACCAGTTTTTTTGGGGGGTAATTTTTTCTAACGTCTATGCTAAGGCACCAAATCTATGAGTGAACAATAATACCATATATGAGTTCTTCAGAAAAATTCTATTTTCTTTTAAGCCAAAGTTGCCCCGTGTAACCTATCCAGAAACGAAGTTTCTTTTATTACTGCTTATTTCTGTCAGAATTCAAAGGTGAAAGCCTTAAACTTGCAGCTTCTATGAGGCATATGAGGATTACCATTGATGAACCATATACAGTGTAACTCTCTCATTTTTATTTCAGTAAAATTTAAAGTAAATCACAACATTATCTAGTAGATCTTTTACTACCTATTATTAATTTCTATTAGGGATCACCAAGACTGCAGCTCTTGTTTTCTCTCCTGATTTTTTCATTTGGGACATAGAAGCTAACAGAAATAATTACCTGTATTAGCTGCTATAAAAAAGCTAAGAAAATGGAAAACTTTTTGTCCTAAAGAATTGTCTAGGTCTGCCTCCCAATAACCATCTTAAAAGAATTTCAAAACAGCAGATTTGTATTTACTACTGAATAATCCTGGTCCTGCCTTCACACAACATATACATTTCAAGTTATGGAAACTATGGCTCCTTTACCTGCTTGTCACATTCTTTGGCCAGAAATGCTTCAAGGGCAGCTAGACGGTGCAGTGGATAGAGCACCGGCCCTGGATTCAGGAGGACCTGAGTTCAAATCCGGCCTCAGACAGATAACACATACGAGCTGTGTGACCCTGGGCAAGTCATTTAACCCCACTGGCTAGCCAAAAGGAAAAAAAAACAACCAAGAAATGCTTCTGCCAGTGAGTGGACTCTCCACTTCCTTGTACTCATGATAAAAGCATCTGATGATGTTTGACAAAAGGGATATTTCTCATCGGAAGTCAAAAGGATGTAACTGCTTAGGGATATAGACAGTTAACTGCTCCTCTATTTTAAGAAGGTCTCTCAGTGGTCAGGTATAAGCAGAGTCATCCAAGAGAAGATAAGAAGAGTCACTGCAGGGACTACATTAAACTCTTCTTGCTAAATTTGTTTCAGGCTTTCTCCATGCTTGAAGGCATACATACTGTAAAAAGGATTTAAGTCAGCTTTGGGGGGAATAACTCTCTATAGCTGCAGCTCCAGTAGAGGTGGGAAAGACAGCGCAGGCTTTCTATAAATGGAATATTTTCTGAGGGTGCCTGGAATGAGGAGGGAAAAAAAATGGAACAAAAATAGGGATTCTCTTTCATTCTCTTCCCTTGCCCCACTCCGAATAATATTCATAACATTGGTTTCAGAAAGAATAATCCTGAACATTGTTTTCCTCATATTTATTTATGGATATCATTTCATCCTTATGCTTAGAGAGTTGGCAAAAAAAAAAAGATTTTTTTTCTGGTAGTTAACTTTCTATTTTTCAAGACTAGCCCTAGAAACATGAAATTATATTTCAGACCTCTGCATTTGAAGCATTTACCTGTAACTACGCATGAAATTACCGGGGGGGGGGGGAAACCACTGTTTAATAGGTATTTTAAAAAGATACTGCTGTTTCCAGCCCCTAAAGCCTGTTCTAGCAACACGAAGCCCAAAGCAGGAAGTGTTTTCAGACTCCAGAGACATATCTTACTCTGTGGTCTATGAGAAGCCTGCTTGGATAACCTTCAGATTTAACTGGAACAGTCTTCCTACCTTTGGATATTTTCCTAAATATAACAGTCACTCTACATAACAATGGGCTGAAACTGCTAGAGCTGGAATAATTCATTATTACCTATTATTTTTAAAAAATCACATTCAGAGTCTGATGCTACCTCAATCCCTAGCATTTATTTTCTATCCTAGAAGGAACCCAGAACTATGAAGCTTAGAACTCTTTCACACTGATCATAACTCCAACCTCAGAACATCAATGTATTTGGTACACAAAAGAAGTAGTACGATACAGCGAAGAGAGAAGCTGGTCTTGGTGCCAAGAAGACCTAAATGTAGTCTTGCTTTTGATACGTACTGGTTATATATGAACTTGACCAAATTAGTTAACCTCTTAGCTCTCTAGCCAACTCTCTATAACACTGTAAGGTTCCAGAGAAAGTGACAATCGGCATTGATGACGAGGAATTTCCTAACATGAGAGTTCCCTACACCAATGAAATCACAGGGCCGGCACATTTCCTAACCCTAGGACAATTAGGTTAAGCGTACAATAAACAACTAATTTATGATTGAGTTCACTTCCTAGCCAATCAGGTAGTGAGCATTTACTATTTTCCTTCAGAGTGACTATATTAACCCAAAGACCTACCTCCACAAGACAGTTCATCCTGAAGTAGGACCAGATGCATTGGACAAGAGCACCTTGTTGTACCATCTCCTTTCACAAGACAAATATGTGAACAACCACCATTATCCTGAGAACACGGATGCTGTCCTATAAATTAAAAAGAAAAGTCCACATCTATCAACACAAGTAGATGCAAGAAACTCAGAGTTATCTCCTTAAAAGAAACTTTTGATTTTTCCTTAACTACTAACAAAAATAGATGTACATTATGGTTTTTTTTTAATAGCAAAGATTTCTGTCTAAACTAAGGTACTTGCTCCCTTAACAAATTATATAAACTATAATCTACTGTCAACATAAAAAATGTCTGGCATACATTAGTGTAGCAGTTACTAAAGAATCCATATGCCATGAAGTGTACTAAGTGTTGGGGATACAAAGGCCAAAATAAAACAATCCCTGATTCAGGGAACTTCAATGGGCCCTCCCTCTAAAACAAAACATTCCGCCACAATATGTGTAAGAAGCACTAGAATGTTGGATACCCATAGTTTATTTGTCATCTTTTGAGGAAACTGAGTTTAACTATTGTTCTGATGAGGATGTGAACTGCAAGGGCAGAAGAGAGGGCAGAAAGAGAGAGCTAAAAAAAATTTATTTCCTGAGAGAACTGACTTTAAAACTTGTCTTGTAGGAAAAATGAGTGAAAAGAATGTTTGGGGAGGAAAAACTTAACTTATGTTAGGAGAGAAATGAGAGGTGAGACTGATTAATGAATGAGAAGTCAGCAGTTGTAGTGACAGTCAAAGATGACTTTGGCTGTGATGTTCCTCCCACATGACAAAGTAGATCTCAGACTTTGCTTTGTTAATAAGTAGTGTTAACCAATCACCTTTATGTTTATTTGAGTATGAGACAGAGGTCTGATAGAGAGAAACGAACAACAGCTTATGGAAAAAGAAATTCTCCCATTATTTAAAAAACTGGAGTGGAGACTCAGAGCTTATTTGATTAATGAGACGTACTGCAATTTTAATAATTAATAATGATACCTCAAACTATATTACCAGTTCTTTTTCACAGTAGGTATCTGGTTGCTCAATCTGCCATGGGTCAAATTTTTGCAGATGAACAATAAGTTGTAAAATACTTTAAAACATATATTATTAAATTATGCATATTTAAATACCCAATTGACAGACTGTGTTGTTGTTCAGTCATTCAGTCATACCTGACTCTTTGTGACCCTGTAGACCACAGCACATCAATGCTGTCCATGAGGTTTTCTTGGCAAAGATACTGGAGTAATTTGCCATTTCCTTCTCCAGTGAATTAAGTCAAACAGGTTAAGTGACTTGCCCAAGATCACACAGCTAGTAAATCTCTGAGGCCAGATTTGAACTCAAGTCTCCCTGACTTCAGGCCCAGCTACCTTGCTGCTTCAATTGACAGAATTCACAGGATAAAAAATTTGGAACTGGAAGGGTCTTTATGGGTAGGTCATCACTAGCTCCTTCACTGACTGATGAGGAAACCGAGGCCAAAAGATGCTAAGTAACTGCCCAGGGTCAATCAAGTGACAGTACTAGACTTGGAGTCAGGAAGACTTGAATTCAAATTCTGCCTCTGGTACCACCTTGCTGTGTGACCCCAGGCAAGTCACTCAACCTTTCCCAGCCTCAGTTTTCTCATTTGTAAAATAAGGATAACAGCAGCACCTGCCTCATAGGATTGTTGGGAGGACCAAATAAGATAACATATGCACAGAGCTTTGCAAATATTAAAGAGCTACACAAGTGCTAGTTGTTATTATTATTGTTAGCTCATCTTGTGAATCAATATAGCTAACTGCCAGTAGGGAACTTTCTCTATCAATGGTAATCAGCACTGTCACCACAACTTAGAGTTTTAGAAAGTTACCTGGGGACCTGAGAGATTAAGTACCCTAAGGCCATAGGTGTCCACAGATGGGACTTGACCAGCAAAAGAAAAAGAAGATGGATTCTGGCTAAGAAGAGTTCAATTATTTTAATATCATCAACCACATTTTTTCCCTAAACCTTAGAAGGAAAGTGAATCGATTTTTCTTGGTTTTCCAACATTTGTTATATCCAAAGCCTCAGAATTATACTCAAATGTACCAAACATTTCATTACTACAGCACTTGGTATGTAATTAATCTCCATTTGTAAATTAATGAAGTCACTAGACAGTTTTAAGAAATTAAAGCCTTCTGCTAATTTATTTTATTCTCCAGATCTTTCCTACACTAAGTGCTGTTTTTCCTGTACTTCTAATACACAAGGTGTCTTGCGATACCTTGCTGCCCAACATATACTTATTTTTTCTTCTCTGTTCTCCTTTCCCATTACTGATAATTAAATTGCATGATGATAATCACAATAATCTACTATTAAATAAGAAATAAAAATTTAGAAATTGGTTGGTTCAAGAATGAGATTGAACAGTAAAATACTATATATTCTTTCTGTTCTGGACAAATTGCTTTATTCTCCAATTACAAGAGCAGGCAAAGAGAATTATCAGAGTTGACAACATCTGAAGGTCATTCACCATTTTAATGTGATTTCTCTTTAGCAGGTATGCCTTATCATTAAACTTACAGTCACAGATACTACTTAAGGTATCTTAATAGTACCAGAAAAGCTAATACTTTTGGAGCCAAAGGTAGAAAAAATTATTATATTTTTATATCTTCTCTGCATGCTTCTCTTAGAACAATTTTGAGGAAAAATGTATACAATCGTAGGATGGGAACAAATGCCTTTTATGTTCTTATTTTACTTAAGCTATAACATAACTTTGTATTGAGAGGCAGTGTGTAGTAGTGGAAAGAACGCTGGACTTGAAAGTCAGGAGATGTGGGTTTGAATATTGTCCCTAGATACTCAGTTGTTTATGGGTAAGTCATTTAAATCCCTTCAAGCTTCAGTTTCCTCATCTGTAAAATGAGGATAATAATATTTGCACTATGTACCTCACAGTGTTGTGAATAAAGCATTTTTCATAACTTAAAGTATTATATAAACATAAGTTGTTTTTATATATTCGGTGGGACATAACTTGCCGAGACTTAGCATTCAGGTTTTATCTTCTAATGACACTTGCAATTAAGAATTACTTGAAAAATTGCTCATAATTTTGCAAAAAACTGCAAAAATTAGTGTTTCTCTTTTATGAACAGATGATAGTGTCATAAGAGAATAGGATTTTGGTAGTGGATAGAGAGGTAGCATCACAATCAGGAAGATCTGTGGTTTTCTGTATTGGACTAGGTGAGGGGAAAAACCCACAAAGAGTTTCCATGCATTGAACACACTACAACATTTTCAAATATGGTATGAGCAAATGACTTAATTACTAATTATGCTTAAAAAAACTCCACCAAGGAGACCTGGATACTACTTTAATATAATCTTCAAATGTACTAAATCAGCACTCCCACTAGCTACTTACTATATTCCAGAAGGTTTAGCTCCTTTACAGCATGAATGTCACTGAGCTGGGCAATTCGAGCCTGGACCTTAGTCCGCCCTTCACGACCAGTCATGTCGATTTTTTCAATCATTTGCTGCTGCCTATCAATCCAGTACAGCCAGTTTTCAAACACAGTCAGTCCCACAGGCTGTAAAATATTGGAGTCTTCTAAAACTATACGATTGGCACCTTGATAAAACAACCCAAAGAAAAATAATTTAGGTACCAATTCACTTAATGACATGTATTGAAATTCTATTACCATCATACATGTAGCACTAAACAAGATACTACAGGAACTTAAAAATCTAGTTGGAAAGATATGATGTGCATAAAGTTTTTAAATGCTAGCATATTACATGAAATACCAATCCGTGATACAAACTTCTTAATATTCTATTTTCTTTAAATCATAGAGTGGAAAAGGACTTAAGATATTATCTATCTCTACCCAAAAGCAGAAATATCTTTTACAACATCCCAGAAAAATAGTCATTAGGCTAAAACATTTCAAAATGATAGGGAATTAGCTAATGAGGCAATCCATTCTATTGCTAAAAAAAGCTTTAAAAATTCTTCTTTATAGTAAGTCAAAATCTAATTGTTTATAACCTTCACTGTATTTGGATTTAAACAGATCCTAAAAATGATCAGGCAAAGTAAAGCTGAATGAGTCATCTAAGCGACAAATGTCTGGCTTTAAGGAAATGAAAGAATGAATATTATGCTATGTTGGCCAAAACTGACAAACATCATGACAACAGCAATAACGATGAATTTTGCATGTGCAAAATACTATAACATTATTATTGACTGATTCAGGTGATTCTTTGGATCACTGGAAGCATGCCAGAAGAGATTAGTAAAAAGTAAAATGTACATAATTATTCTAATGAATAAAAGATTTCTTAAGCACTTACTATGTGCAAAGCACTATGTTTTTATTTTATTAAAAGTCTCTAACTTCAAATCAGAACTAAGAAAGAAAAAAAGAAAGGAGGCATGAAGAAAGAAATGGAGAGACTCCCCAGATTAAATCATTCACAAATACTATTCCTGAGTACCTGAGAGGTCACTACTTTCAATTCGCCGGAGATCTGAATCAGCCCAAAACAGTTTGCCCAAGCGGCTGTCAAGGGCTAAAGCTATAGGTTTACTTAAGCCACTGAAAAAGAGGACCTCTCTTTCTGTTCCATCCAAAGCAGCCCTCTCAATTTTTGGAGACCTTTCTTGAAGATTGGTAAAGTACATATACCTAAAGGGAGAAAGAGAAAAAAAAAAGTTATAAAAAGAAATTATATTGATACAAGTACAGCCAAATTGCACTAATGAGAGATAGCACTTTTTTTAAAGCAATGATTTTTTTTTTACTATTTTCATGGAGCTCAACAAACTAGGATAACAAAAGTATATACTAGTAACTAGTACACGTCCCTAGGAGCTCTGCTTTACTAAATAGATAAAGACTTATAATTAACTTTTAAATGTTTTAGGTATAGAAACAACTATCCAAAGCATCTGAAAACCATTTTTGCCCAGTCTCAATAATAATCAAAAAGACTCAATGAGAAACTAATAAGTCACATCTTCTACCCTGAAAATGCACAAAAACTGGGGTGGCTAGGTGGCACAGTGCATAAAGCACCAGTCCTGGAGTCAGGAGGACCTGAGTTCACATCCAGTCACAGATACTTACTAGCTGTATGACCCTGGGCAAGTTACTTAACCCTGATTACCTCCCCCCAACAAAAAAAAGAAAATGCACAAAAATTCAGCCAGAAGCCCACAGGCAACAGGCTACCCTCTGTTACCCTTCCAAGCTCATACAAGCACAAGGTAGCCTCACAATAACCAGAGACAAAACATGTTTAGCCTATAAAATTCTACGTCTATAAGCAAACAGCAAAAATACAAGGGGCTCTCTTGAGAGAACCCCAGGGTGGTCCAAAAGAAATATTGGAAGAGTCTCAAAGAAACTTTGGAATTCCTAGGGAGTGGCAAGGAACAGCAATCAGATTGAACATTCCAGGCCAAGGGACTCTGAAGTCCCTAACATTCTGTTCTCCATAGAAGGTACTGAAGATCCAATGCTCTGAACCTTAAAGATCCAAGGGAGCCCAACCTTGGTAGGATGAAAGTCAGTGTGAGAACCATAAGTGACACCATACAGGGCTGAATACCATAGAAGTACAGCAGAGGCCTGGCACGAAGCCCTAATTAGGAACTAAAGCTGGAAAGGGTAAATTAAACACCAATCAATAAAAAAAATTATTAAATCTAGAGATTTCCAAAAAGAAGCAGCAAGTAAACTCTGTAATAACTACAGAGATTCAAAGGAAAAAACAGATTTTTCCAAAATCATGAGTATGTAGAAGAAAGAAAAGCAATGAAAATAAGTAGTTTAGAAGAGAAAGGGTTAAATCAGACCTACCAAAATGGATCCCCTAAAAAACTGGATCAAACTAAAATCAATTATTTTATAAGACAGCAAGAAATATTAAAACCAAATCAAAAGACTAAAAAAAAGAAGAAAATGGAAAATATCTGATATCAAAAGCAACTGATATAGAAATGAAATCAGAGAGATAACTTATGAATCACTGAAATCTCTGAAAATCATCATTTTTTAAACCTAGACAATATATTTGAAGCAATTATGAATGAAAATTGCCCAGATCTATTAGTCAGAGGGCAAAGTAAAGATAGAAAGATAAAGATCACCTCCTGAAAGGAACAAAAAACCCCCAAAGTCTTAGGAATGCCAAAGCCAAAAATCCAGAGTTTCCACATCAAAGAAAAACAATACTGCAAGCATCCAGGAAGAAGTGTAGGTACCAACAGACTCCAAGCAGGATCACAGGAGACTTGGCTAAACAAGGTATCTCAGAATACAATTTTCCTGATGGCAAAAGAAGTAGGCTTCAAACCAAGAATACATTATCCTGAAAAGCTGAATATAATCTTGTTAAGGGAAAAAAAAGGACCTTAATGAAACAGAAGATTTGCAAGCATTTCTGATAAAAGACTGAGTAGAACTCTAAAATAGAAACACTAGAATACAAAGAAATCAGAAAAGGATCATTTATTTGAGCAATTGGTATGATGATGTTGTAGTGACAATATTCTCACAGAGGGAAAAGGAAAAATCATCCCTTCAGGACCTTAATGTCTTCAATGGGCAATAAGCAAGTTAACTTTTAAAAATAGAGGTACTGAGGATTTAAAGACGGGAAAGAGATCGGAGGATAAAAGGAATACACTAGCATGAAAAGGAAGAAGGGGATGAAGCTTGCTACATCTCAGAATAGCAAATGTATATGTGAAGAAATATACAAATATGGGAAAAAAGGTAAGAGGAGGAGGCATCAAGATGAACCTCACTCCTATCTAAAAATGGACAAAAGAAGATTAAACATCCACACATCCACATAAACACACTCAGTTCAGTGTAGAAATACATCACACTCAAGAGGAAAAGAAGTAGGAATGGGGGAGTGGTTAAAAGGAAGAAAAAGGAGGAAGCAGCTACAAACAAAATAAACTTTCTGATCTTGAAAGAGGGATTACCTGAGGGGAAAAAGAGAAGAAAATAACTACAATCTAAGAGGTATGATACTTTAGCTTGCCAGATCTGAGGAATCACTGAACAAACTATGGTATATAAATGTACTGGAATATTACTGTGCCCTAAGAAACGATTCAGGATTTCAGAAAATCCAAAGTAGTATAAACTGATGAAAGGTGTAGTGAAAATTAGAAAAACAATTTACATCAGGATAATGAGATAATAAGCTTTCTTTAGAAACACACCTGTGAAAGACTTAAGACCAGCGATCAATGCAATGATTAACTATGTTTCCAAAGGACTTTTGATGATGCATATTACCCATCTCCTGACATAGAGGGGATAAACACAAGCTATGGAGATATATGTTGTGGACATATTCATTATGTAGATTTGTTTTGTATAACCACACTTGTTTCTCAAAAGGCAGAAGGAAGATTCAGGAGGCACAAACAGTATAGTTTTATGGTAACAAATACAATTTCACAGTAACCTGTAAAATTTTATTTAAGCTCAGTATTTTTAAAAAATCACCCTTTTAAATAGGTAGCTTAAAGCATTCCTTTTGTGCTTACAGGATTCCCTTGCTTAGCAAACTTGTTTTTTCACAGATCAAAATTAACTTTGACCTAGTTTCTATCTGAATAGGACAAATTCTGAAGAGATTCTGAATTTACTGAATACTGATCGATGGCATGGTTATTAAGATCAAATTTTAAATGCACATGAACATTAAGTCTTGTCATCATATAGCACCGCTTACCACTACCCCCCAACATACATAAACAAACACACACACATAGGAGGATGGTAGCTAGAAGGATAGGGCACATATTAAAATTCTTTTTTCCCCCAATGTCCAAGTTTTAGTACCTGTAAATAAGTATATACCCTTTTACAATTTGCTTACTTCAAATACTCCCTTGACTCTCTCTTGGAAACTGCCATGAAAATATTCCCACTGAATTTCCAATATACCATTTACATAACGTACCCTTTCTCTGGGTTTACCATGATGGCTCGAGGTCGGTCTTGTTCTCCTTTGAGTACCACTCCAACAGGTCTCCCATCCAGCCTTGTTACATTAATGACATTAGTGGCCTCACAAGTCCAGTAGATGTAACGGCTATAAATGTCAATGCTAAGGTCATAGGGCTGCATGTCCAGATTCTGATTGGGAACTGAGCTCACAACCACAGTAAGACCCTTTGGAAGGAAGGGTAAAAGACTTATACACAAATGACATTAGGCTGAAAATCAGACAACCCTGGGACAGATTCATCCAGTAACTACCACCTACATGAATGGCTGAACCCAAGAAAGAACTAATTTTCTTAATGACCAATATGTTATACTAGGCTGCCCAATTCAAGGAATCCTGGATTTTCCCTGTTGGTTACAAGAGAGTTGAGAATATACTAATAATGCTATCATTTATCCTTAACACTATAGCTTGGGAAGGGCTAGGGGTCTCCCAACTGCAATCTTCCAAATGCTGGGCTCTCATTTGTCAGTCAGCCCTAGCCCAGGACTATCAAATCAATTTATATAAAATTCAGTGCCACAAAACTGCAGTATTTATAAAGTTGAGCAGTATAGAGTTAGCTGAGTGAATAAATCTCACTTCACTCCTTACCAGTGGGCTGAAGTGCTCCTTCACAGGCCTGATTTATATAAATACAACCTTCTATTTGTAGAAATACAACCTTGGGGGTGTTCTAACACTACTACAAGTTTTGATTGCTAGTTATCACCCTATTAGCCCTTTTCCAAAAGGCCTAAGGCTTGTTTAAATGCTTTAATGATCTCAGCCCCAACTTACTCATCCCCAAACACACTGCACTTTCTGGTTCCTTACTTAGCATTAGTTCCATAAGAACTTTGCCCAACTCCATCAGAACACTGCTCTCAGTCAGAGTTATGACTGAGTGAACAGATAATAAATATAGTCACCTAAGCTCCATAAAGTTAGTTAGCATCAATAATAGCACTATAATCTTGTCCAGTGATCTAAACATATAGATCTATATAGCCTTATAGATAAAGCAAAGGTCTACCTAAGCATGGCATGTCTATTCATCACCTCTTCTCCCATATTACTGTCATCAACAAACATTTACTAATAGCTTACAAGACTGCAGGACTTTGTAATAAGTACTTCCATTTTTAACAGTTCTAGTTGGAGAACTTTCTTGCTTTCTGGGTCAAGCAAAGAAATAAACAGAATTAAGAAAAATATATAAAAATGAACATACATGTATGTATATGTGTGCACACATATACGAGGGTAGGGAAAGAGGGGGGAGAGAATAGAAGGGGCTATTTTAGAGTACAAGATGGTGAGGATGGTAAGTGGGTCTGGTTAAAGGGAGAAACTCTTCTAGAAGGCTATAAATTTTGAGTCAAGTTCTTCAATTACCTGGCTACCATCTTCCTGTGCCTTCCGGATCATATTTTGTCGTGAGTCAATCCAATAAAGTTGTTTGTCCAAAGGGTCATAGTCAATGGCTCGGACATTGCGTAGGCTGTGGATAGGGAGGATTATATCAGGACTCTGTTGCTCATCAATCACCATGCGGTTGATGGCATTCTTCTGACTGAAGAGCAGGAAGGTGGTAGGAGCTTAAAGGAAGAAAAAAATGAAAAAAGAATTCTATAATATTCCACTAGAAGAATCAGGCCAATGCGAATACTATTAGGAATGTTATATCATGTAAACTTTGGCCAATTCCAGGACATAGAAGAGGAAGGGGGAACAGGGAGGTGATACAGTGAATCTGAGGATTTTTCCACTATGTGCATACTAGGAGGGGAAGCTAAAGCTAAAGCATAGGACAAAGTATGGATTTGTTCAAGAGCTAATGCTCAGTACGATCAAGACTTAAGCAGGCCCACAAGGAGCTCAGATAAAAATTACAAATTTTTTACTTCTTTATCCCGAGATCCGGGATCATTTTAAGGGGATGGAGGTATGTCAATATGTAACCTAAAGTACAGAGATGATCAAACTGAGAATTAGGAGACTTAAGTTCTACTCCTGGTTCTGCCATAAACTTAGGTAAGTCATTTAATTCCATGTTATAAAAAAAAAATCCTAACAAAAAAAAGAAAACTGAATAACTGTATTCTGCCCCTAAACAGTCTAATATTTTGCCTCCCCAACAGCAATGTCTAATGCCATGCTTAGTTATTTTGAGTCTCTATTCCTTGGAAGAGTAGGGTTGTCTTCCACCATGTCTTTCCCAGGAAAATCTAGGCTGTAGTGAAATAGGATGAAATTCTTCTTCAAGATACGTATATCATCCTTTTTCTAGCTCCTCTGCCTTTCTCTAGTTTCCCACAGGGGCAATCAAATGTATTTGGCAGGAGCTAATTTTCCCTTATCACATTCAGACTCATATAAAGTTTACTTGTGTGAGTCTTAACCCCTCTATTAGACTGTGCTTTGAGAATAAGCAGTTTTTCATCTCTGTAGCCTCAGTACCTAGTACAAAGTAGCACTTTTAAAATATTTATTTGAATTAAATTGAAGCAAATGCACACAGACCCATGTTCTAGGTCATACTCTGCTACTAACAAATTCTGTGACATTATTTCTCCTGCCCTCCTCAATTTTCTGATCTAAAACTAGGGTGAAGTAAATGTTCTCTAAGAACAGGTCAATGTTCAGGTTCTGACCTCAACACTGAAAGGCAACACAGAAATAATTGTTTATACTGATTTAACTGCACTGTTTTTTTCCTTTAGCTTCTATATACCTATAGTAACTATATATTAATTCATCTGAATCTTCAGAAAATTCCCCAGACTAACTGAGTGAGCTTTTCCTTTATTTGGTATTCACTGTACATTGATTTAATTCCTTTTGGAGATTTAAAAAATCATATACTAAGCAGGTAAAATCAATGACTAGATTGTAGCAAATGACAAGTTTCCCACCCCCTTTTTTAAAAGATGTTAAAAAATATGAAATAAGTCTCTACCAACAGTATGATTTTCTTAGGAAGTTGAGGAAAAGAAGCCTAAATGAATTCAAAGATCCACACAACTCTGAGACTGTATAATTCTAAGGGTTTTGAAATTAAGGTCTTCAAATAAGGAAACACTCAGAGACAGTGACAGACAGGATTATTAAATACTCTATGAGCCTTAGATTAGAGGAAGCACACTAGTCTCTTAGTGTAACAAATGCAATGTGTTCCTACCAAGAAATTACATTAAAATTTATTATTAACATTTATATCACACTTACTATGTGTCAGGAACCATATTACAATTATTATCTCATTTGATCCTCACAACCACCCTGGGAGTAAGATTCGACTGTGCACAAAGCAATGTGAGGAACACATAAAAGAACGAGAGGGAATAGGGGAAGTACAATGTAAATTCCTCTTTTTGCATACAACTAAATTTTAATATACATAATTTTTTGAAAGCCAAGTCTCATCTTTATTAAGGCTTCATAATTAGTGAGATATGTTTCCTTTTTTCAGAATGGGCACCTTGAAGCCATTCAGCAAAATATTTATTAAGAAATTCTATGATAGTGCTAAAACCTTCCAATTTCACCTCAATTTCCTCAAATGTAAAATGAGGCGGGAGCAGAGAGTAAATGATCTAGTTGACAAGAGAAAGAATGCTGAATGTCAAGTCAGAGGATCTGAGCTTGGCCATCTTACTTGTCACTTTGGACAAGTTACAACCTCAGATTCCTTATCTGTAACTGGAGTGGGTTCAACCTGACAATGTCTAAAGCCCCTTCCTGCTCTAAATCTAAATAAGTACTTCAATTAAGTATTGAACTAATACTGGGAACATCACAGACACAATTAATAGTAATAATAATTGCTGTTGGTATTATTGTTGCTATTCAGAATCATACATTATGAAGCACTTTATTCACAACAACCCTGTGAGCACTGACTCTGGAAACAGAGGTCCTGTACTCAAATCTCTCCTCTGATACTTACTACCCTACATGAACTTCAGCAAGGCACTCAACTCCCTGTACTAGTTTCCTCATCTGCAAAAGGAGGGGGCCCAAATACATGGCTTCTAACCTTCCTTTCAGTCTAGTTCTATGACCCTACAGTAGGGAATACATATATTATTATAATCCTTTCACAGATGGGGAAACTCAGACTCTGCGTTGTTAAGTGACTTGCTCATTATCGCACAGCTAGTAACTGTATAAAGTGCAATTTAAACTTAGCGATATCCTGAGTCTGTATCAAATTGTTTCTTCAGTTTTTTGACTACAACTTTCTACCAAATCAAAGATTAAAAGCATTTTCATAAGAAGAAGGAACTGCAGAGATTACTTAATCCAACTTCCTCACTTGATAGATGAAAAACAGGCATAGACAGCTTAAGGTACTTACCCAACCTCAAAGATCTGAGAAAGGCCTCAGATAAAAATAAATCTAAACAAGTTTTTCAATCCTCACTCTTCCTGACCTCTCTGCAGAATGACACTACTGTATACCTACTGTGCCTGGAAATTCTATCCCATGTGTGTTTTTATAGACAATGTTGCCTCGATTGTCCTCCTACCTGTGTGGTTGTTCCTTTCCAGTTTCTTTTGCTGATTCATCCTCTATATCCTAACCTTTTACTGTGGCTATACCCCAAAGCTCTGTCCTTGGCCTCTGGCCTTCTCTCTATGTACTTGCTTTCAAATGACCTCATCAGCTCCCATGAGTTCAGTTCTCATTTTTTGTACAAATGAATCTCACATCTATACATCCAGTTCTGATCTTTGACTATAAAGGCCAGATTGAAAACGATCAATAAGGAATCAAAACGTGAAATTAGCAAAGAGTAAAGCATAGGAGCAGTGAACTGCCCTAAATCAGTATAAGTCACCAGACACACACAAACCAGATTACTGAAAGAACTGGCAGATATGGCTGATAAGCCACTGACAATGATATTCAAAAGCTCATGAAGAATGAGAAAAATACCACAGGAATAGATAGGGGTAAATGCTCCATTTCCCTTCAGCTATAATCTTCCCTGGCCCACTCCTGTCCCCAAACCCTCCTCCACAAAGGAGGGGTAGAAAAAGAAAGAGAGAGAATATATAGCCTACAAAATTCAGGCCAAGACATCTGAGTTCAATTCCTGGCAAAATTCTAGAGCACATTATTAAAAAAGCTGATCTGCGAATATGTGCAAAGGAAGCAATAATTATTAAGATTTAGATCAAGAACAAATCATGCCACAAGGACCTTGTTTCCTTTTCTGACAGAGTACTAGACTGGTAGATCAGGGGACTACTGTAGAAACACTTTATTTAGATTTCAGCAAAACATTTAACAAGATCTCTCATGCTGACTTGGTGAACAAGACAGAGGGAGATGGGTGTTTGTCTTTTGTTCTGGAAGAGGACCATGACATCAGGAAATTGATGTCATGACTTGCAAGTGAATTGGATTTAAGTGAGGCAGAACCTGTGCAAAGTTACCAGCCCCACGCTCTTCTCTGGAGCCATCTGGATCCACTGGCAAGATACAGATCAGGAAAAATGGTCAAAGGATATGAACAGGCAGTTCTCAAATGAAGAAATTAAAGCCATCCATAGCCACATGAAAAAATACTCTAAATCACTACTGATTAGAGAAATGCAAATCAAAACAACTCTGAGGTACCATATCACACCTAACAGAGTGGCCAACGTGACAAAACAGGAAAACGATAAATGTTGGAGAAGATGTGGGAAAATTCAAACACTAATGCATTCTTGGTGGAGTTGTGAAATGATCTAAACATTTTGGAGAGCAATTTGGAACTACGCCCAAAGGACTATAAAAATGTGCATACCGTTTGATCCAACAATAGCACTCCAGAGCCATCTGGGTCCAATGGCAAGATATAGATGAGGATGACTGGAGATGACTCCCAAGAGGGAGAGATGCAGGTTAAATAATACCATAGTTATGTGAATTTAAGAACTGACTGAATGGCCAGATTTTAAAGACTAATCCTTAATGAGTTGAGGTCAACGCAGAGGGCTCTAGTATAGTATCACCAGGGACATTGATCTTGGTGCTGTGATCCCTAATATATATATATATATTTTTCCATCAATTACTAGAAGGCATTGATGGCACGCTTATCAGACCTGTAGGTTATAACAGAGCTGGGAAAGAAAGCTAATGTATTGGATAACAGCGTTAGGATTTAAATAGATCTAGAGATACCAGAAAAATGGGCTGAACTGAAAAAGATGGTGATTATAGCACTTTCTTACCTCATTCCCCACCCCACCCCAAAAAATCAATCTGGCTTCTGATTTCAATATTCAACTGAAATTACTCTCTCCAAAGTTACCTCTGATTACTCAGTTGCCAACTCTAATGGCCTTTTCTCAATCCTCATTGTTCTTGATCTCTCAGCTGCACTGATCACCTTCTTCTCCTTGATAATCTCCTCTCTAAGTTTTCATGACAATGTTCTCCCCTGATTCCTGTCTGACCATTCCCACCTCAGTCTGTGATCCCATCCTCTTTGGTAAATCTACCAACTTTCTCCCATTCAATATCTACTTATTCCTACATCTGATCACTATTCCCTTCATTACTATGCATGAGAAGGTATAAAGATGGTGATTCTATGTGCGTGACTGTTCTTAAGGTTAGAAAGGTTTGTCACTTGACTACTAATTCTGGATTATCTGTGCCTCTTTTCATTTCCATTAGGATAAAAATGAAAATTGCCTATATTTACTTTGTCTCATTTTTTTATTTTTTAATTATTTAAATATAATGTCAAACTGAAAGGGGTTAATATTTTGCCACATCATCATATATTACTATCACCAAGAAGACAATAACAAAAATTGTTTAGTTGTTTTTTTTTACTAACCCTCTCTCTTTCCGGGAAACATCACCTTTGGTCTGTCACATTTTTAACTCCAGAAAGAATGGGCATAGTGTTCCCAAACTCTGCTTTTTCCTCAAATTCTAACTTGTTCATAGGGAATTACAGCTTACCACTGCAAGTTCTGTTGTCAGTATTCAGTGAGTAGTGGGCTGGACATCCACAAACAAAACCACCAACTGGCACAGCCAAGCAGAGATGGGAACAGTGCCCATTGCTGGAAGCACATTCATTCCATCCTGCCTGCCGAGAGGAGTGAAAGACTAGGATGTCCATCACATAATCCAAATGACCCTGTATGATGGTTCGGTTTTGGCCACTGGTTTTATTGGCACGTTCAATGCTACGTCGGCTCCAGTCTGTCCAGTATATGTAATCCTGGTACTGAGTCAAGCCAAAAGGATGAGGCAAGTCATCTGCTATGACTTCACGGTTTAGGCCTGTTTTCAGAAATACAACAGAGAGGTAAGAAGAGGGATAAAATATGGGAATATAAATGTCTTGCTGGCAAAACAAAAACATTTTGTAATATGTGAAAAAAATATTTGTAGGCAGTTAAGAAGAATGTAATTATTTTGAAAACAATCTTAAAATCAGTCTAATCTCTACAGTGAAGTCATCTGTATCATGACCCTATGTCTCAGGTAACATTTCTGCTGTAAGTCAGTGATCTGTTTCAACCTCTGGATACATATTTTTATAGTATCATTAATACCTTCTAATAAACACAGAGGCTTCTATTATAGGTAACTTTAGGAATATCTACAGGTTAACTTCTATTACAGTCACAAAAAGGTTTGCAGGACAAATATTTACCAGTCCCAGCCATTAGTTAACTCTTTTCAAACAATCTTAAGTACAATAAAATTCCTTTATAATGAAAGAATGTGGACAGTCCCATCAGATTTTTGTTGATGGTATCTGACCTATATAAGTGACTGTCGTTGGACTTCATATAAGGGTCAAAAACCTTAAATTTTAACTTCAAAACAGCTTATACAGAAAGAGAAAAGAAAACATGTTCTCAGCTTCCCTACATCTAAACGTTTCATCATATCTTCTTCAAAATGAGATATCTGTGAAACGCCCCGCAAGGCTTAAGCATTATATAAACATCGTTATCATTATTAGCATTATAATTATCATCAAAGGATAATTCTGGAAGAGTACCTCTTTTTATACCACAGGCTTCTCTTTTTTATTACTCTGCCCCATGCCTATTTTTAAAAAAATATTCCTCCTAACAACAGAGATAAAAAGAACACTGTAAATGGGACCAAGAAATAGAATCCAGAGAGAAGAACACCTAGAACAAGAAACTGATAGCATATACCCTCACCCTGGTCCAGGTTAAGGAGGTTGAAATCAGCTACAAATCTTGGTTGCTCATATGGAGCAGCAAATCTACATACATCATATACACATGACATACACATATTATAAATAAAATTTAAAACACAACCTAACTTTTCATTTAAAATATCAACAATAACCCACCTCTTGAATGTCTCAATTTGAATGAACAGAACTACATCTTACCTAGCATATTTGAAGATTCTATTAAGTTGGTGTCCAGGTCTGTCCAGTAGAGTCTTCTTTTAGCATAATCAATAGTTAAGCCATTTGCCCGTCCTACATTGGGAACTAATGTAGTACGTTCACTTCCATCCATGGCAGCTCTATCTATCTTGGGTTTTCCACCCCACTCAGTCCAATACATAAACCTAAATTCAAAATACCCATTATTTTATATTTTTTATCATGTAAATAAAAGAAAATTACTTATAAATAATTATGCAAACTTTAAGAACCTGAACAGGACAACATGCAGAAAGACAAAAATGATGGCTCCAAATAAATGCTTCGTTTAATTTATAGCACTCTCAACTAAATATTATTTTCTTAAATGCTAAAAGGGAAGTCAGCTCTTCTTAAAACATTTCCAATAGCATTTGTTTCATACAAAGCCTCAGAACTGGACCCCTACCAAACATTTCCTATTACAGTACTTGGTGTATGATGAATCTCTATTTGCACAGCTAATAATTAATAGAATAGCAGTAGGTTAAAATCTAGCCTTGTTCATAGAAACAGCAAGTTCAGTGTAAAAAGTTCAAAAGTAAGCAAAGTCATTAAAAAATTTTAAGAACTTAAAGCATTAAAGGTTTCTTTATGTTCTTCAGATCTTTCTTATATTTCTAAGTGTTATTCTTCCTGCACTTCTAATAAAGCAGGTACACTATGGTATCTCACTACCTAAAGTGTATTTTTTCTTCTCTGCTCACTTCAAGGAATTGACAGGGAAAAAGTATTAATTGAGCTAATTCTGATACTCTGTTATTAAGAAAAGACGGAATGAAAATTCAGTGATTAGTTGGTTCAAGAGAAGGGTAGGTACATCAACAAAATATGTACTTTTTTCCCCTTCTGGATAAATTGTTCAACTTCCAGATTACAAAAGTATTAAAAGAAAATTATCTGAGTTAAGAATTTCTGAATATAGTTAATGATCTTAGTCTGGTTTCTGTTTATAAAATGTCTATGTCACCAAATTTATAGTTACAAATACTACTCTAAACATCTGCCCAATGGTGTCCAAGACACTAATACTTAAAAGCAGAGCCAAAGATGGAAAGAAAATTTCTTAATCTTGGCACTGTCCTCTCAGAATAATGCTGAAAAACAAGAACGGAATAGTGAAGTGAAGGGCCTGGAAATCATGCCCTATGAGTAGGTTCAGTTGAAGGAAACAGAGACTTTTAGCCTAGAAAGGAGGATACAAAAGGATGAGATGACAGTTCTCTTCAAATATCTAAAAGGACAAGAAGGATGAGATTATGAGCAAATGAAGTTGAAGAAAAGCAGATTTAATCTGAATGTAAGTAAAACTTCCTAAAAATAAGAGCAATACAAAACTGGAGTGGGAAGAGTAGGTTTTTCCTCTCACTAGAGATCTTCAAGTAAAGGGATTGTTCAGGTACAGTTAGGACTATATGGCTTCTGAGGCCCTCTCCAACTATAATACTTTATGACTTTAAAATATGTCTGGCCATTTTACAATCATCTTCTGTTAGATTATAAGGGCACTTGCTACCTACAGATGAGTAGATCAGCTGCCTGTCCCCTTAGGTCAACTGGTTAGGAATAGGCAGCCTCACCACTATATCTTTAATTACAAAATAACTTTTTTAAAAGGTTTTTTTTTCCAAAAATTTTCCCCATTATTTTACTTTATTCTCACAACAACCCTGTGAGGCAAGCAGGAAAGGTGTTTTACAGATGAGGAAACTGAGACACAAAGTTTAAGTGATTTCAATGTTATACAGATAATTAATGGAACTAGAAATGAGCGTCCTAACCTCTAGGAAAATGCTCTTTTAACAAGATCAGTACAAGTACTAGTTAGAAGCACTCTACAAACTGGCACTAGGCTAGATTTCTCCTTTGTCAGCTGTCAGCTAATTGAGATCAGTGATCTGGGAACTGAAAATGCATTTCCCCCCCCCCAGTCTATGACAGCTGAAAGCTGATATATACGAAGTACCATGACATATAAACAAGATTTCATAAACTCTGAAATTAGAGGATGTAGGTTCAAATCTTACCACTAAGGCTTATTATTACTTGCGAGAACTTGGGCAAATCACTTACACCTCCCTTGGCCTCAGCTTCCTCCTCTATAAAATTAGGAGGGACTGTCACTACATTTCCTTCCAGTTCTAAAGATATGCTTATAGTCCTATGAATGCCAGTGTTTTCGGGCTGTATGTGGGTAGCACTTCTCAGGTTATGGGGATGTGCATACCCTTTGGGAGCCAAAATGTGTGTGAAAACAAATCTGACATGTGCCAGTTCTTGTTCATAAATCCTAAATCTGTCTGACAGTTAATGTTAAGAGGCAATATCAACTTTGTCTTAATGCCACATGATATCAAGAATGCTGATTCTGAAAATGGCCTAATCAGACAAGTAATAAGGGAGGAGGCTGAATAATATGAAATCATCTACTATAATCTCAAATACGGTAGATATATTCGTTGTTATCTAAACATTTGAATTTTATTTAATTCATTTCCATTCCTAATTTTGAGTTTCTCCAGCTGGTGATTTTTTTTTTAAAGAAAACAATGTTCTAGTAAATCCTTCCTAGAGCAATACCTGTAATACAATAGTTCTCAAACTTTTTGTCCAGGCCTTCCTCTATACTCCTAAAAATTTTTGAGGATCTCTACTAAGATCTTTTGTTTATGTGGGTTAGCTCTCAATATTTACCATTTTAGAACTTTAACATCTCAGTGTCATTATGAAAATAGTTTGGACCTCATAGACCCCTAGAGGCCCCTGGACCCTACTTTGAGAATTGCTGCTACAGTCTATAGACTTTGGCTACTTTTTTAATGAGCAGATTTCACTGTAATAAATGTTTCTTTGATTCTGTGTTAACAGTAAAACCTCACTGATATAGATTAAATATATGCAGTCTGAATTAGCCAAAAGTCTGAAATATACATCATGTTTTGTTTTTTAATGCAGTTTTATTACTTTGGGGTACAAATGATATCTAATCTGAGGTCTTAATTTACTGATGGTATTTGAAATGATCACAACTTCTTTTGTTGTAAGCATACGGCTCCAAAGTACTTAGTGGTTGGGGGGGGCGCCTAGGCACTGGGGTGAAGTGACTTGCCTAAGGTCACACAGCTAGTAAGTGTCTGAGGCCGGATTTGAACTCAGGTCCTTCTGACTCCAAGGCTGGTGCTCTATCCACTGTGTCACCTAGCTGCCCCGACTCCAAAGTATTTAAAATAATTCATTTTAGGTATATAATCATTCTACTTTTTGACTCTATTAATTTGCTTAAGTAGCCTCATTCTCCCTTCTTTCAAACATAATGCAAAGGTACACTCATCCCATTATTATCTGTTCTAAATCATTGGCGACTATATCAATGGCTTTAAAATAAAGTCTTTCACAAGTTTTCATCCAGGCGTAACATCCTTAACAAATATTTCTCAGGATATCAAGATTCTGCCCTTGATTATCTGACTATAACCCCTCCCAAATTATGTATTCAAAACTTATCAATGCCATCCTCTTGTGCCCTTAAGAAAATAATTCTGTGTAGTTACAAAAACTACAAAGGTAAAATTAAGTTTACCCTTCAGCAGGGTCTAACGCAAGAGCTCTGGGGCTATCTAGATCCTTCCACACCAGAACCTGACGATGTTGCCCATCCAGCTTCGATACTTCGATACGATTTGTTCCTGTGTCTGCCCAGTATAAATTCTTTCCTAGCCAGTCTACAGCCATGCCTTCTGGATAATCCAAGCCAAATTCCACCACGTGTTCCAGTGAACTGCCATTCATAAATGCTCTGCTGATAGTCTACGGAAACACAGAGATATATAAGATATGCAAACAGTAACATAAGATTTACAAACAAAACATAATCCAGAAGAATAATTAAGAGGGAGTTTAGGCAAGAGGGTTTTTTTTTAAAGCAAAACCAAAACCAAACCCTATACTGTTCATAAACAATGAAATATTTCATAATATTTTGTAATCTCTACTGTAGAAATAAGTTTAGGTGACTCTTATCTGGATCTAGTAAGCACTAAAAATACAACAGTGACCTTCAGAATTTACTGTCAATTCAAAGGAAAGAACTTTGGCATTTTCAAGAATCAAAATACATAACAACACATCAAATGTAAATAATCTTTATTTTTAAAATATTCTTGGTTTTCAAGGAGAGAAACATAGGACTACAATTTGTGGATAGCTAGAATGTAGACTCAGCTCTCTAAACACATTTGGGAGTGTCATCATAATGGTTTGATGGGACGTTAATATCTTTAAATAAAGTAGCCTTCATTATTTGAGCCAACCTTGTCTGTGTACACCCTGCCTTCTATTTCCAATGTAGCTTTAAATTCCCTGCCACTGTTAAATTGTTGTACTATAAGAGTTTCATAGATTACAATAATGAGTTACTTAAACCTGAAATTGATTTGGGTACAATGAACAATAGCAGCTTTAAATTTCTTCCCTGATGAAACCTATCATCACATAATAAAAACAGTAATAAGCTACTCAAAATACAATATAATTTACACAAGCCCTCATGAAACAAGACAAAAACATCTGACAAAAAGAAGCCAAGTCTCTTCAAATTTTCTGACCCATTTTCTGATCCTCTTTTATGATAGCTCTTCCTCCCCCCTCCCATCTGAGAACAAGGGGAGAATGATGATTTTATCAAGTTAGTTTAAAAGCCCTTCTATTCCAAGTCTTAAAACCAGTAACTGCAATTGTTGATGGATTTTTTTTAAAAATTGGATGAAATAATTTACTAGTCCAACTTCTTATCAGATTATTTAATAAAGTATACCAATTTCTTTATCAACAATAGACCAAAAAGAACTTTCTCTCAGCCCTTAAACTTCTGCCCAGTGCAGAAAGTGTCTATGAAGTTGCTGGATTGTTTACTTAGGAAAGAGGAAAGTCAAGTACATGAAATATAATTGCACAAAATAAAAATATGAATCTGACTATAGGATATTCATAGCAGCTAGAGAAAAGAAAAAAGCTAGTAAATTATAGAGCAACCACAGGAGTCCTGGGGGAACTCTAGATCCAAAGTCTCAAAGTAATATTTTCTTATTAACCTTAAGAAACAAAAAAAATACCTAGGATCATAGGATGTAAAAGCTGGAAGGCACCTTAAAATTCACTTAATCAAACTTCTCATTTTATAGAAGAGTTCACTGAAACCCAAAGGGGTTAAGTGACTTGCCCATGGTTTGGTCACAGATGTATCAAAGTACCAGAGCTGGTGCTCAAACCCCCTTTCAGTGGTTCTTTCCACAATACTACAGTTGTATCTCACACTGCTGCACGGATCACCTCACTCTTACTACCCAGTAGCAGTCTCTATCCATGGGTTCAGCACATTCTTTGGCCCTAAATATGACAGTCAGAGGTCAGGATCATAGATTGAGAACTGGAAGGGACCTCAGTAACCATCAAATGGAATCCCTCATTTTACAAATAAGGAAACTCAGGACCAAAGAGGTTTAGATTCACAGTCACACAGACAGTAAGTAACATAGCTAGAATTTGAATCTATGTCTTCTGACTCCAAATCCAGCCAATTTTTTTCCACTGCATTATATGGCCTAATGTCTATGTGCACAATTGGCAGGTCAATGTGATAGACATAGGAGAAGGGAAAAAAGAAATGGTAAAAAGAGAAGAGAAAAATAGTATGAAGAGGGCACAGTGTTATTTATTATTACTCCTGTTCTAGGATCTTATGGTTGGCAGACTGACATCTATCATGTTACAGAATCTCAAGACTCCACCAACAGTATTAACCAAGGCTGATGCTTTGGAGTCGCTGGAACAAAGATACCAGTATACAAGGGAGAAGAGGTATGAAGGGCCAGGGACAATGACACTTTGTTCAGTGACAATTTAAAGGGGAGAGCACGTCCCCCAAAAATTTGTGAAAGGAAATATATCATTTTTCTCCTTTTCCCTCCCTTTCACAGCTGTAATTAAACAACTAAAATCAGGTCAATAAAACTAGTTTTACAGACTATATATGTATTCCTAAACCAATAAAATGACCTTAGAGGGCCCAAAAAATAAACATTTATTTCATTTCTTCTCCAAATTTTTTCCTCCACCAGTGTCTTCATCATTCCAAGAGCAGGTAGGGTTTCAATTATCTTCATTCAACTTTTAGGAAGTTCCTCAAACAAGAGACAAAGCTACTGATAAAACAAAGTTTTTGGTCAAAAAATAACAGGAACACCACATTGTAGAGACAGAAAATTCTGAAACTTAAGTGTTGAATCAAATGGTCTGTAAGATAATTCAAATTAAACATCAAAATTAAACATAAAAATACTCTTCTCATTCCTTATAATTCAGCATCCATGCTTTAGTCCCTCTAACCCCCTTTACCTTCAGAGAAATATCGGTCCAGTAAATACGATTGTCTGTTACATCAAAATCTAAAGCAGAAGCTTCTTTCACACCAGTAAGCGGGATGGCCACGTTGTTGTTGTTTGTTTCCAAAGAGATGCGCCTTATGTCTGCTCGTCGAGAAAACAAGAGGAAAGCTTCTGGAACGATGCAAGTCTTCATGTCACTAATAAGCTCAAAGCCAATGGGGCAGGCACAGCGAAGTCCCTGAGGCCTATAAAGGCAAAGATGGCTACATCCCCCATTTTCATTAGCACATGGGTTGGAACCTAGAAGTAAATTATTGAAAGAAGAAAAAACACAGAAACAAAGCAACATGGTTTTTGGTGCCAGTCATTTTTAGATTGCTAAATATCTAGTGAACAAAGCCATATGTGTACTCTCTTCCATGCCCAGACAAGCAGTATTCATAGACTAGTAGAGAAATAAAACTTCATCATGAAAGTCTTTCCTTCTCACCCACAGTTAAGTTCCAAATAAGTGATTTTTTTTGTCATAATACTGAGTGTTTTTTAGTAGGGAGGTGTCCCTCTAAAACAAAACCACCAAAATTCAAATTTTGTAGCCAGAACATTAAGTCCCATTGAAAGGGCAACAGATCATGTCTATACTACCAAGTTCCTTAAGTTTTTTCCCCCTATTCTGCCCTTGGGGAAAATTTCAAAGTGCCAGAACATACTAATTATGTATTTCAACTATTCAAAAAAGTTGCTCTGTAACCTTCTGCCTATTACTCATCTCTCTTCCCTTCCTTCTCCCTTTATTTCCAAACATTAGGTTAAGTTTTGACTGACTCACCAATGATTCGATGAACATTTGTGGCTTTTAGGCCCATAAGATCAGGCAGCTGATCTATGATGATTTCCCTTTCAGCACTTCGTTTGTGCACCCGTTCAATACTACGTCTTTGCCAGTCAGTCCAATAGACATAGTCTCCAAGCAAGGTGAACCCAAAAATGTGAGGAATCTTGTCTTCTACCAACACTCTTCTTCCAGTACCATCTGCATTCATAACCTTTGGATTGGCAGTGGAAGGAAGAAAAAGTTATAAACTAACACACTGAATGAAGAATGTAATGTAAGTAAAATAACTTGGTTCAGATTTTATTTTTAATTTATACTTGATTCTCTGTTCTTAATTCCCAGAGCAGTTATTATAAACCTTTTCCTTCCTCAAATCCCCATCTCCATCTCCTCCCTAGTCAACTACTTGACTAAGCTGGAACGCATCAGAAGAGGGCTCAATTCAACCCATAAAACTTCTCAGGAAAAAAAAAACTTCTCAGGTTCTCTACCCATTTCTTTTTCTTTTCTTTCATTCAAATGTATGGGTGGGGATTACTAGAGCAAATTAAATCATCCGCAACACCAAAAATCAGTGAAAGATGACTATTAATTATATTAAAACTACCTCCTGTTTTCCCTGCCTCAAGTCTATCACCACTCCAGTCCACCTCACATACTACTCCATCGCAATTTTTCTTAAATAAAGATCTGACCACATGACTTACTTAAACTTAACCAATTCCAGTGGCTTCTTACTGCCACTGGGACAACATATAAACTCTCTGGTTTAGCTCCTAAAGCCCTACAAAATCTGATCACAATTTATCTTTTCATTCTCACTGGATATTATTCTCCCTCCTATACTTTGGAATATCACCAAACTGTCCCTCTCTCTATTCCTGACACACTATACTCCATCTCCTGTTTGTGGTCCTCTGCACTGCCTGTTATACATGCCTGGAATGAATTCTCTCACTTCCACCTTATAAAGTCCTTCTTTGATGACACAGCTTAGGCACCATCTTCTAATGAAGCCTTTCCTTATAACCACCACACTCCTTCCCCTCCCCCACACTATCTCATATTTAATTACTTTGTGTGTGTATGCATTTAATAACTTTATATTTATGCTGTATACATTTTTGCATATACTTGTTACCTCCCCCGTTAGAATGTTAATTTTCACGAGAGACTGTTTTCTTATTTTTATTCCCAGGGCCTAATATAATGTCTGGCATATAACAAGTATCTAATAAATACCTGCAGATTGACTGATGGCTATAAAGGTCTAGTCACCTCCTTAGATGGAACAAAATGTTTTTTCATGCTGGTTAAGGAATCTGATCACACCTTCTGAGGCCTCTATAAATTACCAGAGAGCTGGTTGGAACCAAAGATTTGAGTGCCTGGCTACAGTAGAGAGCATTCTAGCTAAACCTAGGAGAAGAAATTGTTTGGGGATGGGGGAAGGGAAGAGAATAAGCATTTATATAATAGCCCCTACCTATATGCCAGGTACTGTGCTAATATCTTCACAAATGTTATCTCATTTGATCTTTACAACAACCATGAAAGGTGGGTGCTATTATTCCCATTTCTATAGTTAAGGAAATTGAGGTAAAGAGAGGGAAGTGACTTGCCCAGGGTCACTCAGGTCTTCTTGTCTACAGGGCCAGCACCCTAAACACTATATCACCTAGTGCCTTAGCTTCCTGCTTCCTTCTTCCTCTCCCTACCCTGGCCCCTGTAAACTCTGAAGAAGGACTCTGGACTTTCCATCTTCCCAATACAGCATATCCAGAACAGGTGTCAACACTGTATGCCTTGGTGCCAAGGACAGACTAGGTGCAGATTTGATAGCCTCTACAAAGTACCCAATACAGATTCCCAGCAGGGAAAATTATACTACACCTAAGGGAATCTTGAGGGCTCCAGTAAAATCATAAACTGTGGATTATCCCTTTGCCACACAAGCTTGAGCCCACTTTCACCAGAATTCTGTATATATTTTTATTTAAGGTTTTGAGTTTCAAATTCTATCCCTCCCTCTTTGTTACGCATTCTGTGTCCAAAAGTTTTCAATGGTTTGTTAGGTAAACAAGGATAAACATCAAACTCTTTGGCATTCAAATCCTTCTGTAATATGGAACAATCTCACCTTTCCAGCGATGTCTTAAATTATTCCCTCCATAAACTTTATATTCCAACAAAATTAGAATACTTGCCATGCCCTGTAGACATTTCATATTTTCCTGCCTTCACTCTTTTGCTCATGCTTGGAACACCTTAGCCTTTCACCTTTCTTCTACTGAAATCCTGTCAATTCTTTAAGCCTAGTACAACCACCTATTTTAAAGCCTTCATCAGTCAGTGATAATCTCCACCTTGGATCCCACAAAGGATTTTGTTTGCACCCCATCTTGGGCTTTTATTATATAATGTTCTGTATTATACTGCTCTGTATTTCTAAATACATACATGTCTTTATATTATAGTAACTCAAGAATATATCAACAAAGAAGAGAACCACTATCATTCACGTTATCCAGGTTCAGAACTTCAGAATCATCACAGACGTCCCTCTCCCTTGCCTTTTATATCCAATCAGTTTTGTTAATTCCACCCCCCCCACTCCCCCAATAACTGTTTGTCCCTTTCTCTCTAATCACAAGATCAACTTTTGTTCAGGCTCTCCTCACCTCTCAGCTAGACTAATAATAACAGCTGATATTTAAATAATGCCTAGCACTATATATTATCTCATTTAATCCAGGCAAGTCACTTAAAATTCCACTGCCCCAGGCAACTCTAAAAACTATTCTGTCAGAGAACATCTGCCTATCTGTATTGATAGTTGTTTCATCACCTAAAGTTTCCTATAACACTCCCCCCCCCCACTCCAAAATCCTCAGCTCTTAGAACCCATCCATCTACCAAAGAGATTGCCAGGAAAACCCTATGAGATAGAGATTATGATCCTTTTTTTACAGACGTAAAAAATGAAGCTCAGAGAAGTTAGGTGATCTGCCAGGATAACTGATCTGCTAACTAATAAATGCCTACAGAGGGACTAGAAATCCTTCTTTGCAATCCAGCACTCTCATATGCTATACTAAAATACTTATTACAATTGTTAATTGGTGTCTCTGCTTCCAGCCTCAGTCTTCCATTTTCCATCAGCAGCTCTGTTTCATTTTGATTCCATGGAACATCATGCTCTCTCACTAGGTACCCTATTGTGCCCCTTCCCTTTTTGTGTGCTGTCTTCCACTATTAGATTGTAAGCTCTTTGGGGGCAGAGACTGTCTTTCTTTTTCCTTATTTGCATCCACAGCACTCAGCACAGTACTTAAGAAATGTTTGTTCAATTCAATTCCTTGCCAATATATCCTCCACACAGATGCCAAATTGATATTGTTAAAATTAACGGATCTGACTATATCATTTCCTTACTTAAAAAATTCTTAGTGGCTCCCTACTGCCTCTAGGATGCACTGGCATTTAAAGTTCTCCACAATCTGGCTCCCAGGGAGTTGAGGTAGCTAGGAGCAAGGCGAACAGAGTATAGGACTTGGAATCAGGAAAATGTGAGTTCTAATCAGGCCTCAGACGCTACCTGTGTGACCTTGTGGTTCAGGCCCTGGTCACTGCCTGGTTACTATTCAAGGCCATGGCTCTGGGACTACTCTACTACTGAAGCTTTTTATTCCTGGTGGTACAGGATTCTTGGGGCCAACCCCTAGCTGGATTCTGCCTGGAGCCTTTCTCTCCCTTTTCTTGCCTTCGGGTTCCACTCAAGGCCTTCCTGTATGCTCTGGGGGTGCTCTGTACAACTTGTACCTACCCTGGGTTTATTTTCATTGCCAGTTCCCACAGAATTCTAACAGGTTTTTTATGCAGTCTTGGACTACAGAAATACGCAGCTGATTCTGTTTATTTTTTTTTTCTGGTCCAATTTTAGAGGTTTACTGGACTGTCTGTGGGAAATATGGGCTCCTTTGGGTCTGTTTTTTTGTTTGTTTGTTTTTTGGGGGGTTTTTTTGCAAGGCAATTGGGGTTAAGTGACTTGCCCAGGGTCACACAGCTAGTAAGTGTCAATGTCAAGTTTCTGGTCTGAGACAGGATTTGAACTCAGGTACTTCTGACTCCAGGGCCAGTGCTCTATCTACTGCACCACCTAGCTGCCCCTCCTTTAAGTCTTAATATACTGCTTTTTTTTTTTGAGGGTAGCAGAGGGAGAGAAGCACAGCAGTCACTGGTGAGCCTGATCCCTCTACTGGTCAACACAGAGCTTTGAAACCTGCTGCTTCACCCTTACTTTGACAGAATGTCCCCAACCCACCCCAAGGCTCACCATATTGGTGCCAGAATGAGTGCAGCTACCCAAACAGCTTTAGGTCTACTGAAGCTCAGAACTTCAGAGCTCAACTGATCAACCAACCTCAATTTCTCAGTAGCAGAATTACAGACAAGCACAGACAAGCCCAACCTTGTTGCCACTGTCCCATGCCTACACTTTCTATTAAGCAATATTGACTGCTTCTTCAAAAGCAGCAATTAAAACTTCATCAGAAGTGAAAGTGGCCTCCTGTTCTAGACAGAAAAAAGGTCATAATATCATTTTACTGAAATGTTCTGTATTGATAGCTAATTACCCTTACTTCCCTAAAATAAAATTAATTTCATCACATCAGATAAATAAAATATTCATTACATTGGCAAAAAATAAAAAACCACAAAATGTAGCTAGATGAAAGCATGGAAATCAAAGACTAGGCGCACTTCTACATTGGCTAGCAGTGAAGCATTTGGCCATCTCAGTGTGGCATAATAGAGAGCGCTCTTGAATGAGAGTCAAGAGACTTGGGTTCTATGCCCAGAAATACAATTTACCAGCTCTGTGACTTCAGATATGCAACTTGACCTGAATTACAGTTCCTTTATCTTTAAAAATAAGGGATTTAGGCTGGATGATTTCTATGTAATCATTTTTTAGTTCTAAAATTCTACAATAAAACATTTTCTAAATAGCTTATCTATACTATAACAGTAAGAAAATGGCATTATCCTCTCCATTCCAAGCTTTAAATAACGGTTTCCATACTGAATAAAAGGAAACAACCATTAAGTTAAAAGTGCAAATTGTTTTTAATCTTGCTCTTCAAATCAACAAATTTGATTCATTAATCAATTCAGCACTAACAAATTATATTCATTTAATAAGTACCT